AACGGGTGGGCGGTCGAACTACGTTCATTGTACACATTTCAAAACTATTGAGAAATAACATCTCAAAAAACATATGATCCCCCTGTATTTTTTTTAAGAAAATAGACCCACATTCCTATGCCGGTTAAATAATATCATCAATAACAAAGAGACAACAAAAAATAACTATTTTTTTACCAAAGTTTCGGTGATCATTTGGACCTACACTGGTCCAGACGTGTACTAACTCAAATTGCTTTTGCCCTCCATTGAAGGAAAATTGCCTGGAAAAATGGAGATTCCTATGGAACTTTCCTAAACTGACAAAAAGTACCGCCCAAACTAGACCATTGCTCTTTAAACACCACCTGCTCAAGCCCCCCTTGTCATTCCCTATTATTGCATTTCCTTCAAAAGATCCCATTGTTAAAATGCCCGTGCTCTTTTCTATGTCATATATTTGAATTCATTATATTTTTAGCCAAATAGTTAATACTTCAATTAGGACCCACTGTGACTGCTAAACTCAAATGGAATAAGCCTTATATTATCCATAATCCTAGTAACATTACAAAGATTTAGGGATTGACTATTTTCTGTTTTCATTACAAATACTACTTTACGAAGTATTGTGTGGGTACACTTAAAAGGGCTATTTGAATTATCCATTTATAATCATTATTGAGCAAACACTCAACAGAGAATTTTCGATGCTTAATAAGGTTAGGAAACTAAACAAAACATTTTGAGGAGTCCAAAGATTTAAAATTCTAACCATTCCTTTGTCTACATAGCAACTGAGCCTTTTCCATGGCCGAGGCACTCTAGAAACATTTGACAATTTTTCAAGGTTATTCACCTTAGGTGTTTTAATTGAATTATAATTCCATTTTCTCTGACCAACGCATCTCCATCCTTGGCGATCATGGAACTAGTTTTGCAAGACCCCTTACTTCATTAATAGAAATCAAGTTTAGTTTGAACGGGCATCGTGCTTGTGACTTTGAGAATAGTCCTATTTGAACACATTCTGTCGCGGGTCTGCATTCTCCTCCGGTAAATTCATCAGTGTAGTAGCTTGTTTATTCTGATTCCTCGTTGTTTTGCTTTTGGAGGCACTGCAACAAAGTGCCTCCAAAATTGAGTCACAAATTTCTTGCAAAAACCTGCATTGTACCTTTGATTTGTCTTTTATCCTTTCACCTTGGTGTTAATTGATCTATCCAATTTGCTGAACACGCTCTCCTCCTTGGCCATATGACTAGTACAACCACTATCAATGAATCAAGTTTGTTGACGGGCATCTCTTGTGACTTGAGAAGCCATGAACACATTTTCGGTCTCATTCTCCTCCTATTCATCAGTGTAGTTAGCTTGTTGATTCTGATTCCTCGTTGATTTTGCTTGGCACTGCAAAAGTGCTCAAAATGGTCAAATTTCTTGCAAAACCTGCATTGTACCTTTGATTTGTCTTTTATCCAGCAATCCTTCTCTAAATGGTTTGGTTTTTTAGAAAAGTTCCAGGGTGGAAACTTGCTTGTTCTTCCTTCTTTTGTGATAGCTTTTACTTTGTCTAAAGTTTCTGAACCAAACTTCTGATATCTTCTAAATGGTCGTCTTTCCCTTTGCTTAGCTTGAAAAGCTCCTTCACTTGCATTTTCATCTCTGAAATTAGACCTTGGTTCCTGAGCTTGTAACTTACTGATCAGCTCAGCAACCGACAAAGTTCTAAGATCACATGATTCTTCAATGGCAAATACTTTAGGTACAAATCTGGATGGCAGACTATTAAAATCTTTTCCCATAACTTTAGAGTCTAGAAAATCGTCCCCAAACAACCTGATTTTATTTACCCACTCTAGCAAAATTAATAGCATACTCCTTCACTGTTTCACTTTCTTTCATTCTAAGCACCTCAAACTCCCTTTTAGAGTGAGAAGCTTAATTATTTTCTCTCTATTACTGCTTTCAAACTCCTCCTTTAGCTTATCCCAAGCCTCTTTTGGAGTTTCACAAACTATGATTCTTAAATATAGTTTCTAATAAACCTGAATGTAAACATGTCAAGGCCATTAGCTTCTTGGCCGTTTGCTCTTCAAAATGCTTCATTTAAGTCAATGTTGGATAAGTGGTGTTGGATCTACTCCATCTTCTATAACTTCTCACAAATTCAAAATTTTCAAATAAGCTTTCATTTTAATTACCTATATATGGTAATTTTCTCCATTAAACATTGGAGGGCCAATTCCTAAAAAGTTGCTAGTGGTCGACATCTTTTAGTGTTTTGTTTCATGCTCACACTAAAGAAGAATATTCTCACTTTCATAGGACCCTCAAGAACAAGTTGGCTCTAATACCACTTGTTAGCTTTAGAAACTCTGATGCTGCTTATTAAAAAAAAAATAGAAACTTAGAATTGGTAGAAAAACCCAAGCATAGTAGACAAAGAGAAAAAGTTTAGAATAAAACTTTTTTTATTAGAACTTTGTTGCTTGATTACAACTAGCATAGAGTGGCTATTTAAAGGTAAACTAACACTTGAAACATACATTAAACTCTAGTTTTAAAACTTAAGCTTTAAATTTAACTGAAAAACTCTTCATTTGTTTTTTGAAACTACTTCATTTACTTTTGAAACTACTTCAATTACTTCTGAAACTACTAAACCCATAAATATAACTAAAGTAAATTCTTAATACTTTAACAGTTATAATTATTTAGTGTGGCATTTTTTAAGCATGACGATGTCTTACTTTTTAGAAAATTATCGTGTCTTGTGTCAATGCAACCTAGAACAGTAATAGTAATAAATCAATCATTTCTCTTAATAAGATAAAAATAACAACAAAGGAATAGGGAAATAGTTTGATTTTTTTTTTTTTCCTTGGTTTCAATCGTTACTGTTCTATGAGAATTGGGATTGTTAATTAGCTAGAGTATTATTGATTCCAACAAAAACAAATGAAAGTTGGGAATTATGAATCTTCTAGCAATTGTTATAGTTCCATAAGGAGTCTTCCAGCAACGTGTTTTGGAAAATTTTCGTCACTTTGGACATCAGCTAGTTTCTTGATTTTCAGATTTATATGAAAAGTTAAAATGTTCATCAGCATTATATGAAGAGTTAAATGTTGTTTTAAAATTTTAAAATTTCATCGGCATTCCAGCTACAGGTATTGAACATATTGCAACACAAAAATTTAGGGGAAAAGGGTCGGATAAAGTGTAACAAAGTAAGTGATTCATGCTCTACACCATCAGACAGCTATTCTTTTGCAATAACAAGACATTGGCAATGAAGAAGAACTCAAGATTGTGTTTAACAGCACAAGGAGTCTTCTCGTCCAATTCATATTTTACAAACAAAAAAACATAGAGGAAGAGAAACAATACCACATTAATAAAAAATATGGAGCATGCAAAATGAGATTAAAGAGAGCTATCTAACACAATATATTTCGGCAAAATAAGCAGAGACCACAAGACTGCAACTATAGAATTATCAGAAAAGAATACTTAAAAATGATTTATAACTAATCAGAGTTTCAATCGTTATCAAACCAAAATGGAATTTAGTAACAGAATACTTTAGTGAACTAATGATTCATTCCCACGTTGCAGTTGAATTTACAATTGACAAATAATAGGACTGAAAGAGAAATAATCAAATAAATAATGACTCAAAATGATTTCTAAAACAAGAAATAAGAAAAATAAGAAAGAACAGCACAGCTGAAAGAGAAATAATAGCATAAAAAACCAAATCAATCTGTCCAGTCAATGGAAGATAAACATTACCCATAAATGAGAAGTCTAACAGTACTAGTGTCATCTCTCGCACCACTACCATGGCCATTAAAACCAGGAGCCTAACAGCACAATTTTCACAGTAGCTAAACAAGCGATTACCAAAAGTACCAATACAAAACAGAACCTTCAGCAACATACCTTAAGCAACCCAACTGCAGTCTCATCAAGAAACCTGTTTCTGAACTGAAAAATTGACAAGAACGAAGCAGAGAGATCTGGGTTCATCAAAAGCAGCAAGATTTTGAAAGGAAAACCAAAAAAAAAAAAAAAAAAAAAAAAGAAATAATTAGCAATTAAAAAACCCTAATATTCGCAATTTGTCAGTCAATGGCAAAGATAAATGATTTTACCCATTAAATGAGAAGAACTTTAACAGTACTGTGTCATCTTCGCTTACCACTACTCCATGGCCACTTAAAACCAGGGAGTGGGTGCCACCTAACAGCACACAATTTTCAACCAGTAGCTAATACAAGCTGAATTACCAAACAAGTACCAATTACAAAGACAGAACCTTCAGCAACATTACCCTTAAGCAACCCGCACTGCCCGTACCACTCAGTCTTCATCAAGAAACCTTGTTTTTCTGATAACTGAAAAAAAATTTGACCAAGATACGCAAAGCAGGAGAATCTGGGATTCATTTCTATAAGCCAAGCAAGATTATTATGAATAGGAAAAACCCTCAAAATAAAACAACAAAAACCAAGAAAACAAAATAAACAAATTCCCCACCCCCTACCCCTAACCCCTTTTGCGCCTTTTCCCTCACTAGTCATTGCCTATGTCAAGTAAAAAAAATCAAGTAACAATGTTCAAAATAGCATCCTATTTTAAAATTTCACTTCCACAATAAGTCAACGAATTTAAAAAAAAATAAACAAAAAAAAACAAAAAAAGAAAAAGTCATATTGAGAGAGGGAGTCCAACTTGCACACTCCACGATATGTGTTTTAATGGACCCGCAATTTTCCCAAAAGAGCATAGGACAAGGACTAATCTATATCCTGTACACAAATTTTGACATGAATTTAAATTTATCATACACACTGATAAAGAATTAATTAATATTATATGAACTCTAGTCCTCGTTCTAATAGATCAAGACTACAAGAAACCCATATTAAAACAAAAAAAAAAAAAAAAAAAAAAAGAAAAAGTCATATGAAGAGGAGTCCAACTTGCCACAAGATTGGTTTTAATGGACCCAATTTAAAGCCTAGGACAAGGACTAATCTCCTGTCCAAATTTTGACATGAATTTAAATTTATCATACACACTGATAAAGAATAATTAATATTATATGAACTCTATCATCGTCTAAATAGATCAAACTACAAGAAACCCATATTAAAAAATGATGGGAAAATCTGAGAACAAGTGCTACTTCATGAATGATATATTCATTTAGATAAACCTAAGTTTCAGCTAAGTTCAATAACACACTGCAACATTTGATATTCTCCTGTACTTGGTTTCGTGTTTTATTCCTTGAAACATATAACAGGAACTAAATCAAATGATGACAGCTTGTCCATACAAGACACCAGCATACCTGAAAATTGTAATCAGTTAAATTATTAGGGAAAAGCTCAATTAGAACAATGACATCCCCATAATTATGCACATCTACAGCAAAAGAAAAAAGTAGATTGCCATACATTACTTGGACAAAGTTTGCATATATTTCTATCATTGTTAATATGAAAGATGACAATGAGCCATAGGGGTATAGAGATTCAAAAAGACAAAATAGACAATGTTTCTTCTTCGAAAACTCATCTTTACCCCCCATCCGATGAGTCTGAGACTTGGTTAAGAAAATTAAAATACCAGATCAACTACGCAACTAATTACTGCCTATCTGATGCCACAGAATAAAATAAAAAGGACCACAAAATAGAACTTCCAAGAAAAAAACATCCAGTCAGGAACAAGAGAAGGATACTTGATGCCAATGAGGCACCTCCAATTATTTCATCCACTCTTCCAAGCAAGAAGGGGGCTTCAGCATTGCCTGCTATATTCTTATCCCTAAAGATCCAGTTTTCAATTTTATAAAATATAAAAACAAAATTTATCAAAATGGACACAAAATTATTAGCAAAGATAGATTGCACCTATATCTCATGAGTCAATAAGTTCTTTTCAACCTGGCTTCTTAAGTTCACTTTGCATGGCAGATGCAATCATATTTCCAGAAACTGATGCTTGTTTCATATTAGCATCTGCAATTAACAAAAATAAAACCAAAAAAACTAATAATTTATTCTGATTGAGGAAATACAGATGAAATGGACAGATTTCATCACTTGCCTGTCAGCCAAGCGCAGTCCTTTGAAATGTCTACTATACAAGGTGCCTAATTATGGTCACAAAAAACTGTAAAATTTATTAGAAGAAATTGCATTTTTATGCAAAAATAATGTTAGAAGACTCACAGTAGTCTGTACTTGTGAATGTCAAATCAAGATTCTAGTGATTTAAATTTCATACAGCTCTATGATTTTTCTGCACAGGTCAGGTGAAGGGAATTTTTGTGCCTGTATGATGATTTCACATACCTCACCGTAAGTGAAGCTTGAGTCCTAATAGCACCCACTAACACATGACTAGAAAACCAACCTCGTCTAAATCTAAAGAAACACCAGGATCATGAGTGTTACTAGAGGAATAGTGATCAAGGTGTTCTACTTGTTCTGCATAATAACACCAAGAAACATAATGACTAGTTCGTAAAATTATCACAACAAAAAAAGTGGCAGAGTTAATTTCTAAAATGTTCCAAAACTAGCTCATGAAAGCAAATCATGAAATTGCAGATGTATCCATACCGAAAATCATGGACAGTATCTCTATTGGTAATCTCTGGACGTGCGAATCTGTTTTCAACTTTCTAGAATAAAGAATGTTGAATCCTCATAACCAAACGAGTGTGGAATGTTCTACCACTAAAGCATTAGAAATAGTGTTAAATATATTAAGGGAGGGACCAGGGCTAGACTTGTTTTAGACAGCAACTATAGTTGCTTCCACAATAGCAGTTAATATTTGTAAATGCAAAATTTTAGGCCCTTTTATTAATGTTACGAGGAAGAAGAAAACCACACAGCTTCAATCTAATGAAAAAAAAAAAGGATAAAAGTAAACAAAGCTTCAAACCAACTAAAGCGGATAAATCAAAAACACCAAAATCCAAAACGTTAAAAAAAATAATTACATTTTGATTATCTGGCTGGAACACTGCCAATAAGCCTAGCACCAACTCTATCTAGCCTCTTCACCAGAGATACAGCCTTCAAATTTCCTTCCTTCAAAAATGCCTCCACCATCCTCTCCCCAATCTCCTTTCCTCTCTCCTCATTATCAATCACGGCCACAGCTGTAGGCCCTGCTCCACTAATTGTACACCCAAATGCGCCTGCCCTAATAGCCGCCTTCTTCACTTCCTCCATTCCGGGAATCAATGGAGCCCTTTTAGGCTCCACAATCTTATCATTTGAAAGTGCCTTACCCAACCCCATCAAATCCCCTTGTAGCACAGAAGCAACTAATGCCCCAGCTTGGCTACAGTTCCAGACATGGTGGGGCATCCCAATTTCTTCCGGCAAGGCAGCTCGCATTTTCTTGGTTGGTGCCTCAAATTCCGGAGTTACCAATACAAAGAATAGCTCTTTCTCTCCTGGAAACTTTAAGCTCATCAATTCCAAAGGATCATAACTATTAATCAATACAAACCCTCCCATTATTGCAGGCGCTATATTATCTGCATGATAACCTGAAACTTTAGCTTCAGATTCCAATCCAGCAAGAATTAAATCCTTAACTTCTAATTTTCCCCCGAAAATCTCATTTACAGCAACAGCAGCTGCCGCAGCACTGGCTGCACTCGATCCAAGACCACTCCCTAACGGAAGTCCTTTTTCAAGTGTAAGAGAAAGACCCACAGAGCGTATATTAAGCATTTTCATGGTAGCAATAGCAGAGATACCTGCGCAGTTCCGGAGAGGATCCTTTGAAAGCTTTTTACAGGCATGATTTCCAGTAATGTCAGAGATGGAGATCTCACCGGGATGGACGGATGGGTCGATTCGAACGGAGACAAAGTCTCCAAGACCATCGACAGCACAACCCAAGAAGTCGAATCCGGGGCCGAGGTTGGCAACAGTGGCGGGGGCAAACGACCTGACGGAGGTGTAGACGGGTTCGGGTTCAGTGGTGGTGATGGTAGGGAGAGAGAAGTTGCAGCGGAAGAGGGGTGATCTTTTGCTATGTACTGATGAAGAAAAAGTTATTGGTTTTACTGGTGACAGGAAACATATCGCCGCCATTATAAGAGAAGAGGGGCAAAGGTTTAGGACGACAAGGGTAAAGGGTTTAGAGAGTAGAGCTTATGCTGAAATGTCAACTCCCAGTCTCACTGGAGGTAGGTAGATGGGATTCTAAATTTAGGAAGAGGGAAGAGCGAAAACGGGGACAACGTGCGAAAAACAAAGACATAATTCAACTTTAAAATCATTTAAATTTTTAATTTATCTATATATTAATTATTTCATTATTCAATAAATATATATTTATAAACGAAAAAGAAAAACATTATAATTTCACAAAATTTTTTTGGTTTTGATTAATATTTTATTTTGGTTATAATATATATTTTGATAATATCGAATATTATAGTCTCAAATGTTGTTCAAATAATTTAAGAATAATTAATTAAATTAATTTAACTATAATTTTTTCTTATTTTTCATATATCCATAAAATTTTATATCAATAATTTCTTGAAAGTTTTAAAATAAGATGAATAGTTAGTATATCAAGATTTCAAGATTAATTATTTCAATACTTTTTCTCACACTTTCTTATAAATTTAAAATAATAATTATTTACGTAAACTGTTATATAAGTGCATTATGAGAAAGTGAAAAGAAAAATATTTCAAAAAATATAAATGGGAGTATTATTTTGAGATATCCCAAAAAAAAATGAGACTATAATTTTGGGACGGACGAGTATTAAAATAGTAATTTAACAATTTTATAAAATATTTATTTGAGATAATTTTGATGTTGTTATAAATTCTATCTATTAATATCTATAATTATATGCAATTTCTGATAGAGCTTTTGATTAAATTTAAATCCCCTCTAATAACTTTAGTTATAGCCAATTAAAAAATTATATTTTATTATTATTATTATTTTTTTTTTTTTTTTTTCAAAAGATAATATTTCAAATACTTTTTTACTTCAAATCACAATTTCTATTATAAATTTAATGAATTGTGAATTATTTACGTAAACCTGTTAGTATAAGTGCAATTATGAGAAAGTTTGAAAGAAAGATTATTCAAAAATTATAAAATGGGATAATAGATAAAGTATTATTTTGAGATATACCCTAGAGAAACAAAACATTGAGACTATAATTTGGAAAAACAGAAATGAAACGGACGAAGTTTAAAAAGTAATTTTAACAATTTTATAAATTATGTTTAATTTTTGAACCTGATTCATATTTTCTCTTGTGATAGTTGTTATAATTCTATCTAAGTGTATATCCTATAATGTATATTTGGCAAAATTTCTGATAGAGCTTTTGATTTAAATTTAAATCCCCTTCTAATAACTTTAGTATTATAGCCAATTAAACATCAAATAACTATTTTTATATTATTTATTATTTTTTTTTAGCCAATTAAAAAATTATATTTTATTATTATTATTATTTTTTTTTTTTTTTGAGAAAAAGAGAAAGAAGCTTTGTTCAAGTTGTAAATCCAGAAGCAAGACAGCTTCAATACACGAGGGAATAGTTTTCCATTGATAAAAACAATGATATGGACATGCGGCCGAAGCCAAATGGTGAATTGCACTGTTCCCTTGTCTTTGAGACCAGCAAATAGAAGAATTTGCTAAATCATGCATGTAACATTTACAATCAGAGACAATACTACGAAGTTCACAAAGGGAGATAGACGGACTGCAGATGGCTTGGTAGAACTGCAGACAGCCCACTTCAACAAGAACAGAAGGAAAACTTTGGTCCTGAGCCAAGATAAGACCTCGCTCAATTCAATTGCTTCTGCCATTAGTAGGATCCATAACCCAATTAAAATGACCAGACAAACCGACAACAAAATTGCCTGCCCCATCACAAACTACCATACCAAAATTGGACTTATGAATCAATGACAACACCGCAGCATCAACATTGCACTTAAAAGTCCCTATCAGAGGACGTTGTCAGCACTGAACACAGCCATGCCGCTCAACCAGTGAGATTGGATATATTTTATTAAAATTATTTTTTAAATAAATATATATAAATAATTAAACATTTCAAAAAGTTTTATTTTTTTTTAAATTTATTTATCATATACATATAATGAGACATTTGAAAATTTTTATATTTTATTTTGAAATATTTAATTCACTTTTATTATGAATTAAAATGTTTTATTTAGGAGGGAGGTAAATAAAATGAACGTATATATGTGTGAGATGATGAATAGTTGAAATTTTTAATTTTAAAAATATATATAATATTTTATTGTTATATATATGTATCTATATATATTGAAATGTATTTATTAGGTGATATTATAGAGTTACACATATACAGTTATAATGAATTTTAGGTAAATGACGATATAAATTGAACTGAAGTGTGTGTCTATATACACACTGCTGTTTTATTAATTAATCATTATATTCATATTAATCTCATATGAAATTTTGTTTAACATTATAAAAATCTAAATAATAAAAAAACATTAAAAAATCTAAAAATAAAAGATTAAAAAAAAGATTAGAATCCAATATTCAATTCAAAAATAAAAAACAAGTATAAATAATAAGTAAAAGTGGAGTAATGATTATAAAACAAAATTTGAATGGTACGATAATGAGATATAGTCAACACACAACGACGTCATAAAAAAGAACTTATATATTATACACACTGCTGTTTTATTAATTAATCATTATATTCATATTAATCTCATATGAAATTTTGTTTAACATTATAAAAATCTAAATAATAAAAGATAAAAGATTATAATCAATATTCAATATTCAAAAATAAAAACAAGTATAAATAATAAGTAAAAGTGAGTAATGATATAAAAATTGAATGGTACGAATAATGAGTATAGTCAACACACAACGCACGTCATAAAAAGACTAGTATATATAAGAGTGAGAATGTGAGAAGAACATTAGGATTGCTAAAAATAATCCTGCTAAATTTATAGATTGACAAAAATATCTTGAAGACAATTTAATTTGCTTGGTTATATTGATTTCTTGTTTAAATATAAATTCTATTAGTTAAAAATAAATAAGATTGGCTAAAAAATAAAATAAGAACTTATGTATAATCTATATCTATAATATATAAAATACATAAATGTGGCAATGGAAGGAATAATGAAATTTTCGATGGCACTTGTAATGGAATTTGAAATATCCTAACAAAAACCTTAATCCAATTGAAAAATTCCATTACATTAGTTGATTCGATGTAATTTATTAAAATTATTTTATTACATTTTATCCCAAAGAGGACTTAGATAGGGTGACCCATTATGTCATATTTGTTTTTGATTTGTGTAGAAATTTTTTTGGGTATGATTCACAAAGCAGAAAGGGAGCATCAAATTCATGGAATAAAAATCTATTATGGAGCTCCTTCCATTTCATATTTACTTTTTGCAAATGATAGCATCATTTTTTGAACGACTTCTACAGCAGAAGTAGATAAGGTGATTCAGATCCTCTGTGACTGAAGGATTTCAGGCAATTTGAAGAAATATGAGATTTCTCTTAGTGCAAAAACAGAAGACCGTAGACAAAAGGATTTGACGAATCAAATTAGGGTTCACAAGGTTGATCAACACAGCAAATATTTGGAATTACCTATAATTATAGGGAGAAAGAAGAAATTGGTGTTTAGCAATTTAGTTGATAAAATTGCAAAAAAAACTAACGAGATGAAAGGAAAAATCTTTATCAAAAGCAAATAAGTAAATTTTGCTAAAATTTATGGGACAAGCGAATCCTGCTTATGTGATGAGTTGTTTAATGTTATAAAAGGATATTTGCAACCAAATTGAGAGTCAAATGGCAAGATTTTGGTGGGGCCAGAAGAAAGATGAGTGGAAAATTCATTGGATCTCTTAGAAAAAAAAAAATTCCAAACAAAATAGAGATATACAAAATTTCAATATAGCCATGGTTGTTAAACAATGTTCGAGGCTATGTAGGGATGAAAAAAATTCTCATTTAGCAAAATTTTTAAAGGCTCAATATCATCCAAGGTATGTGTTTTTGAAAGCTAAAATGAATTTTCAACCTAGTTTTTCCTAGAGAAATATTATGCAAGCAAAATAGATTATTGATAAAGGAACAAGATGGTTTGTGGGCAATGGTAACCGTATCCGAACTTGAAAGGATAACTGGTTGCCAAAACAAAATGGTTATTAGCTTTTGGCCTCCTTCAAATCTAAATGAAGACTTGTTTATTAGCCAACTAATTGATCTTATAAATATATGTTAGCAAAGGGAAGAGTCACCTCTTTTTTTATGCCTGATGAAGCAAAGCATTTCTTAGAGATTCCCGTTACTCCTGGAAGAGAGCAAGCTGAGCTCATATGATCATTAACAAAGTCTGGGATATTTTCTGTGAAAACAGCTTATCATTTAGCTCTACAAGCTTTGGCATCTCATACAAAAGCAAAATCTTTACAAGCTAATGGTTTAGTTTTTTAGAAGAGGATATGAATCATTTTGTTCATCCAAAGATAAAGAATTTTGTGTTCTGAGCATACCAAAATCACCTTCTAGCTAAAATAAATTTGAGAAGAGGAGGGATTGATATTGATGTAATGTATAACTTATGTGGAGAGAAGGAAGAATATGCTTTTTGTATTATTTTTAATGTCCTTTTTCACGCAGAGTATGGATGTTGTGTCCACTTCACATTCGCCAAATAGAGGATAATGTTTCAATCACACTATTAATTCAGAAGTTTGCTGACATTTTCAAATCAGATCAGATTGAAGTGTTCTTTATGGAAGTATGGTCCATTTGTCATGTTTGAAATGCTTTTATTTTTAAGCAACAATAGGCTAAAGAATTACAAGTTGTCCATATTGCATTATCTACTTTATATGAATATAAAGCTTGTGGTTTCAGTTTAGTATCCTCGTTATTACTTTGCAGGCTGATGTTGGTAATGATAGATGGAAGCCTCTTGCAACTAGCATTGTTAAAATTAATTGTGATGTTATTGTATCTTTAGATGAGAAACATGGATGGGGTATGGTAATCAAAAATGCCGAGGCGAGATAATGGCATCAGGTTTTAAGAGTTTTCGATGATCATTATCACCAGAGGAATCTGAGATTGAGGCTGCAAATTTTGTAGCAAAAACTGCTCTTGACTTCGGTTTTTAGGATGTCAT